CGGATTGCAGATGGCGGAAGTGTCAGAGGATGATGCATTGGATCCGGAGGTTGGTGGGGTGGTAAGTGAGGACGAGGGGGATTCTGTTTTTGTTGTTATTGCGGGGAGGGGGTGTGAAGGATGAGTTGCGGGAAATGCGGGAGACACGGTCGAGGGCGTTCTCGACCACTGAGGGTGAGGAAGTTGCAGTCCTTGAAAAACGAGGACATCTGAGATGTACGGGAGTGGAATGCCTCATCCTGGGAGCAGATGCGGCGGAGGCGAAGGTATTGGGAATAGGGAATGGCATTTTTGCAGGAAGGTGGGTGGGAGGAGGTGTATTCTAAGTAGCTGTGGGAGTCAGTGGGCTTGAAATGGATATCGGTTTCTAGGTGGTTGCCAGAGATGGAAACAGAGAGGTCCAGGAAGGGGAGAGAGGTATTAGAGATGGTCCAGGTGAACTTAAGGTTGGGGTGGAAGGTGTTGTTGAAGTGGATGAACTGTTCGAGCTCCTCGTGGGAGCACGAGGCAGCGCCAATACAGTCATCAATGTAACGGAGAAAGAGGTGGGGTTTAGGGCCAGTGTAGCTACGGAAAGTAGAACTGACTGGATTGCTCTGCAGAGTGTCACCATGGACTCAATGTACCAAATACCCTATTTTTGTGCTACAATTGACAATGACTCTTAATATATACAGTCTACTCTTGTACTGTAATATAACTGGTTATTCCCATTGTTCAAGAGCGTGATCTTTTAACTATTGTGTTGCAACAGTTAAGTTAGGAGTATTGTACCTAGAATTCTAAAATGTGGAACCAAAGGAAGACCTTCTTTAATCTGAATACTGTTTGTTCAACAGCAGGGTGGTGATTACTAGCATGCACCAGCAAGTTGAACATTAGTTCCTCAACTTGTTACCATGTCAACAAAGATTTGAGAGTAACTCATAGCCCCATTGTTCACAGCCCCACAAGAAAATGGCGTGGCAGCTCTGACAATTCTAATGTAGACCGAGGCCAAGTAACTCCCCTGTTCCACAGTTCAAGGTTCAGGAATAGAGGGAGGTGGTACATTTCACAAATTCTTTGTTCCTGTTAGATTGTCATGGGAATTTTGGTCTTTTGCTGGGGCTATGCAAACATTTTTATTCGTATTTCAAATTGATATGAACTTTAACCTCTATCTTGTTCCTCAACAGCTACTGTTCTTAACCTATAAATTCTATTTTGCAAAGTTTTTCAGGAAAGGAGAAGTGTTTTTGTTTCGAAATTTAAGTTGTTTTTTTTTCTGCATTTAGTATTCTTTATCGTATGCCTTGATTGGAATCTTAATTTTGTGCACAGCAATTTCTGTCTAGCTGTAATGCTGGAACCTTCCTTTTCCCAATTGTGAAAATTGTCATTAGGCACAGGATTGAATATCAGTCAGGAAGTCTGACCCGTAAAAATGAAGTAGAGTTGGACTGTATCAGTGCATCAGCCTGACACCAACTATCTTGCTGTCTCCTGGGAAGGTGACAGGTTTGTGAACGATAATTTCAGACTTCCAGCAGGGGAGATGGTATGTCTTTCTCTCCAGTCAAATACTTGATGCCTGAAGGAAGCCAGATAATTTTTCCTCATCAGTTGCTGCAAGATGTAGCTTTAACCTGCAACTCAAAAAAATGTGCAGTTAACGGACCATTCACCTGTGCCTCCTGCAAAGAGGTAGAAAGGGCCTGGAGAAGAAAGATTGAAGAACAGCAAGTGCTGCAAGATAAATGATCATCCAGTGGGACCACTGAACTGCTTTCCAGTTTTTACCCTCCACCCATAACACAAATTTTCTTTGTCTGTCTGACTACTTGTAAGTGTGTGTAAGGGAGTTTTATAAGGTGGTTAGGCTTTTACCTCACAGGGTTATAGTCAACAGTTCATACTTGTTTCGGAAGGATGTAGGCCTGAAACATCAGCCTTCCTGCTCCTCTGATGCTGCTTGGCCTGCTGTGTTTGTCCAGCTCTGCACCTTGTTGTCTCTAGTTCATACTAGTTGATGTGGTTAGATTCTATTTGAAATATATAGTCATTCTTGTAAGTACAGAAACATTGTCCATGTTTTTCGTTGGCCTGCATCAATCTAACAGGTCATTTGAGGGTTTTTTCCATGCTTTGATTAAAATGCTTAACTTCTGTGACCACTCTGGGAATAGCTCTAGCTTGATTTCCAGCACACTACCTCAGTGAGGTCTGATAGTTGCCAGTCCTGCAGACAGAGTTCTGCATGGCTCAGGTTAGTTTTTTTTTTGCTATCACATCTCTGGGTTGCTTCACTATGTTATAGATGCTATTTAATTCCAAACAATGTGTGTTCAAGCTATTCTGCAAAGTTTAAAACACTGTCCAAGTTATACTGCTGTGCTTCAATCTCAATGGTTTTCCTCACTGTCTAATCATAGTGGTGGTATTGTGAGGAATTATCCTGAGTTTCAGCAAAGCATTGGAGATGATAGAAAACGATGCTGGGACACAGGAGTAGGTACATGACAAAATGGAAAGTATGGACAGAGCAACAAAATGTGTAAATGTAAGCTGGAATAAAGGCAGCAAGAATGCATTAAATTGTAGTGAACAGAAAAGAGGAAGAAGAAGACAGGTCAATAAATAAAGATGAGTGGGGAATGGCCGATTGTGAGCATGAGGAATTAAATGCGTAGAGATAACAGTTCAAAGAGGGAGAAAGTCACAGATGCATTAAGTGAGAATGGATGACGAAACCATGTTTTCATGAGGAAAAGTTGTGGGTGGAACCAAAAAAAGACAGTAAGGTTGCAGAATGCAATTAGTAGAGTCGGTGGAATATAAAGCTAGGAGTGATATTTTTCCAAATCATGCCAGTTTACTATTTACAATGGATTTTAAAATTTCTTTATATATTACACTGTCCTGTACTCTCAAAACCCATATACAAGAACAACAAGTGCCCATAATTTTAGTTGAGTAAAATTGCAAATAATTTCAAATAAACTAAAGGAATATATTCAATTGGATTAAATTGACCACACAATGATGAGAGACTGAAAACATACTGCATATTCAGACTTCTTGTGAGTAATATTCTGGACAGTAACATGCAATATTAGCTCTAAATATCTTGAATTAAAGAGCTATTCATGTAAGATTCATTCTTTGAAGCAACATTTAAACTCTGCCATGATGGATTGAAAGGTGGATGTTGAGCTGGCAAAACAGTTCATCCTGCAACTAAACATCTCCACAGAAGAACAACTAGCTTTTGTAATATTATTTTCTCCTCATAGAGCATATTGCACACTTCATGGAAAGTATTTGCCTATCAGTTCATTTTTTAATGACACACTGTTAAACTCAAATTTGTGCAGAAGTCTGAACTTAGGAACTACAGTTGATTTACTCATATACAACTTGTTTCCATTGAATATACTCCTGCAGCTAATTGGCAGGACAAGTTTTTATTTCTTGAAATTCATTTCAAATTTTCCAACAGTTGTATATTCAAAAATGAACTGATTGAATTCAACAATTGAACATTTCTAAAGTTTTTGGAAGCACCTGTTCCCCTTTTGTTAAATCTATTAATGCCCTCAGTAGAGTTTTAAAATTACAGATGTGACTTTAAAAAGTCATAAGGGCTCAGAATCTTCTATCTCCTTTGGGGAATTTCCCTGCTTCTTCCTGCTGTTGAATCAGATGTAGTGTTCCAGTATCTTGTCAGCTCAAGTAGTGTAAGCCCAGAAAGAAAGCCTATTGTGAGTCACACTCAATATTTAAATTATAGAACATACAGCAGTACAACACAGTACAGGCCCTTCAGCCCATTATGTTGTGCCGACCTATTATGCTACTCTAAGATCAAACTACCCTGCATACCCTACATTTTACATGTGCCTGTCCAAGAGTCTCTTAAATGTCCCTAATATATCTGACTCCACTACCACAGCTGGTAGCACATTCCACACACCCACCACTCTCTGTGTAAAGAACCTACCTCTAACATCTACCCTATACCTTCCTCTAATCACCTTAAAATTATAGCTCCTTGTAATAGTCATTTCCGCCCTGGGAAAAAGTCTCTGGCTATCCACTCTTATCTATGCCTCTCATCATCTTGTGCTGCTCTATCAAGTCACCTCTCATCCTTCTTTGCTCCAATGAGAAAAGCCCGAACTGCCTCAACCTTTCCTCATAAGATGTGGTCTCCACTCCAGGCAGCATCCTGGTAAATTTCCTCTGCACTCTCTCTAAAGCTTCCACATCCTTCCGATAATGAGGCGACCAGAACTGAACACAATATTCCAAGTGTGGTCTAACCAGGGTTTTATGAAAGCCAACACACCATACGCCTTCTTAACAACCCTATCAACTTGGGTGGCAACTTTGAGGGATCTATGGATCTGGACCCCAAGATCCCTCTGTTCCTCCACACTGCCAAGAATCCTGCCATTAGCCCTGTATTCTGCATTCAAATTTGACCTTCCAAAATGAATCACTTCACACTTTTCTGGGTTGAATTCCATCTGCCACTTCTTTGCCCAGCTCTGCATCCTGTCAATGTCCCGTTGCAATCTACAACACTATCCACAACTCCACTAACCTTTGTGTCATCAGCAAACTTACTAACCCACCCTTCCACTTCCTCATCCAAGTCATTTAGAAAGATCACAAACAGCAGAGGTCCCAGAACAGATCCCTGCAGAACAGCACTAGTCACCAAGCTCCAGGCTGAATACTTTCCATCTACTACCACCCTCTGTCTTCTAACGGACAGCTAATTCTGTATCCAGACAGCCAAATTTCCCTGGATCCCATGCCTCCTTACTTTCTGAATGAGCCTACCATGGGAAACCTTATCAAATATCTGCACATGAACTTTTGAGTAAGGTTATGGTTGCCCTTCCCAGGTCATTCAAGGGCTGCCTAACTTATTTGAACACGCCCTTCCTTTCTCCCTGAGGTCAGTCTGATAAGATTGACCAAGCATTTAACTTGGTTAATCTAAACTGACAGCTCAGTGCAGCACTGAGACCAGACTGTATTGTAGGGTGTGCCTTTTTTTGATAGCAACATTAAATTAAGGTCCTATCTGCCTCTTAGACTGGATGCAAAAGATCTGAAATCCTTTTATGATGAAATGTCTGCAGTTTCTGAACAACAATTATTCCTTTACTGACACTGCGAGGGGTCACTAACTAGTCATTTGTTCTATTGCTGCTTGAACAAACATGTAAATTAGTTTGCATACAGTAATGATTGTGTGGCTGATAACAGTAACAATAAAAGTAATTCACAGCAAAGCCCAATGGGCTGTCCAGAGGGTGTAAAGTTGTTACATATTACAAATCTTTCTTGGGCCTCAGATGATGTATTGCTCCTACTTCTGTCTCTGCTTAGCTTGTCCCAGGATTTTGTTGTTGTCCCAGTCGAATTGGTGGTTCTCCTTATCCACGTTGATTGAGATGAGTGAGTATTGGTTGACCAGAGACAGGCATGGAAATTCCTAGAAGCCTGGCACTCCAAGAAGAAAGCCATTAATAAACACATAGAACTCGACCCCATATACATTCCACTACGAAGGAAAACCGGAAGTGAGGCAATCCATGGACTCCAAAGTTTAAAAACCAGGTGGGAAACCACACCGACGCTTCTTCGGAGGCTGCACTGATGATGTTACCCAGCATGGCAACTAAATGTCTGCGGAACAACAAACCAGCTTGGCGAGCCAACCAACCTCAACAACCACAACCCGAGCTACAAATCTACTCCAAAACCTTAGAGTTACTTTCATACTCTATTTATCCAAATTATACTGCATCTGCCATTGATTTGCCCACTCACCCAACCTGTCCAGATCATGCTGAAGGATCTCTGCATCCTTGTCATAGTCTAACCTCGTCTATTTTCCTCTTCTTAATCAATCCCTTGGTCCTTCATTGCTGAATTCTAAACTGCTCCAAATCCTCAGATTTATTATTTTTCTTGGCCAATCTTTATGTTTTTTCCTTGGATCAGATACTATTGCTTATTTCCATTGTAAGCCATGGATTGGCCCTCTTACCCGTTCTGGTTTTGGGACAGACAGGAATAAACAGTTGTTACAGTTCCCCTATGTTTTCCTTGACTGTTTGCCATTGGCGCAGTGCCCTCATGCAGTCCTTGAATGTTTGCCAGCTGTACTTTAGCTTCCAGGGAACAGAGTGTTCTAAAATTTCTTTAAACAGAGTCAGGTCGCGACCAGGAACGACATAATAGGAGCTTAATGCACGGATTGTGTCCTGCAGCAATGGCAGTGAATCAAGAGTAGGCTGGTGAAAGCAGGCCGGTGAGGCAGCCCAGAGCAAGACGCTGGCAGTGGCATGTCATGGGCTGGAAAGCCCAGAGTGGAGGCATGGCGAGGGCTGTAAAGCCGAGTGGGACTGCAGCCGTGCAAAGGAAAGTTGGACATTCTTAAGTTATCTTTTTTTCCTTATTTTATTCTAGGTTAATGTGAATCAGGCCATATATGTATACACGTGACAATAAATGATTCAATGAGATTTAGTTCTAATGAGGATTCAGATACACTCATTAATGGCCTACTCCTACTCCTATGTTAGGTGTGTGTCAGAGTGATGGGACAGTGTTCCGAATGGCCTCTTTTGTACATGGAGCATGAGCTGAATCAAAGGAGGTGATAATAGGATGGATGGCAAAAACCTTGGTCAGAGATGTACAGCATGGAAACAGATACTTCGGTCCCACTTGCCGATGCAGACCAGATATCCTAAATTAATCTAGTCCCATCTGCCAGCATTTGACATATATCCTTCCAAACCCTTCTTATTCATATACCCATCCGGATGCATTTTAAATGTTCTAACTGTTCCAGCCCC